TTGCATGGGTGCGGATTTTTGATGAGCTTGTACCATTGTATATGTATTCTTGCCAATGCATCAGATTATTGTTTGCATAAATTGGTTTCTCTTCCACAGAAAAGTATATTTCAGATATGGCCTTCACTGAAAGATGATAAGCCACTGTTGTCAACCTGGAATGAATGATTGAATACTTCTTAAGTTTATGACAACATAAAGAGAATTTCTCCAGTTACTTGACAACATTGCTGTTCAGTAACACCAAAATGAGAGTATTCAAGATAAACAGATTTGGGGCATGAATAAAGCCACAAGTACAACAGTGTATTGTCAAAATTAGACCTCGCGGGGATCATGATATTCAAGTCAAACAGACATTGAGAGTAAACCAGAAGCAGAATATTGGGGCATCTCGAAAGACCATTTCATATAGAAATATTTCATGTGGGATATCTTGAGGGCTCATTTCCACCAACAATATGAATATTTGGGCATTCTTGGAGGCTCATCTCAACAAGAAGTAATGTTGAGCATACTTTTAGCATCTGCATCAGCAAATGTTGGGGTATTTTAAAGATTCCTTCAGACAGATCCATGTGGGGCATTTTGAAGGCTCATATTAACAAGAAGCAAATGTTGGTGCATGCTGAAAGCCATTTCAATCAGAATCAGAACTGTTGAGGCATTTTGAACACTTGTATTAGCCAATGTTGGGGCATGATGAAGGCCCACAACATCTTGTGTCAAGATCATTGACTTGAACAAATATTTCCAATGAGACAGAAAGGTGTGAAGAATGAAAATGGTGAAACAGTGATAATCGAGCTGACTATACATAATTGCTTCGTTCATCAAGCAGTTATATTATGATCATGTTGTTGAACAAATATCTACTCAGCAAGTATGGTTTCAAATACCCAATCTTCTTAAACCATGTATCACATGACAGTGTGTTCTTTGTTAAGATACATCATGGTTGCATGAATAAAGAGGATCCTCAGGCAGACTACTCGATCCAGGGTTCAGTTCCTCAAGAAGGAGAGCTGAAAATTTTGACAACAAGAAACTAGTGGAGCCAACTAAGGTTGAACGACAAGTTGTTGTTAAGCATCTCAACATGATATGGTCCAAGTTGCCGTATTCGAGATCTGATTAGATGTGGAGACATGAAAGGAATTGGAATAAATCCTCCTTGTGATATGTTTCAAGAGTCAAATCAGAACAGACTCTATTCTCCTGATTAATCCCTGCTGAGTCAGGCATATCTACATCTGCACTTTTTAAAGATAATAGATTCTCACTTCAGAGATGACAAATTTTCTTTTTAAAGATGATAGATTCTCTTTTCAAAAATGAAAGCTTTATGGAATTTCTACACAAGTCCAAACAAAGAAAATTGGTTTTATCCAAGACAAAATGGGACATCAAGGTCATAGTTCTGACTACAGCAAGAGTTCCACAAATGAAACATTTCTTCTAAGACCTTCATGAATCAAAGAAGACAGTAAAGATACAAGTTGATCAGATGATTCTGCAGAAATGCAAGCTTGATAGCATAAGTTGCTACATTGATATCCAGATTTTTACAGATCTTCGGAAGAACGAAGAAAGGAAAAAATACCTGACAAGAAGAAGGTATTCAAAACCAAAAATACAGGAATCACGCAAACATCTGAAGAAGAGATGGACGCAATCCACAAGAATGAGTATTATCTTGAGATTGGGGCATGTTACCCAATCAACATGTTATTTTGAAAAATAATGAGAAAACGATTTCCATAGTTTCTCATTCAATCTTTTCTGAAAATGAAATTGTTGAATAGTAAGAAAACAATTTCCATAGTTTCTTACTTAGTAAACTATTTCTCACATCTGTAAGTCCTTCAGTGCATGATGTTTCCAAAAAGCCTTCGAGAGCTTTTTGATGTTTTCAAATCCTTCGGGTCATCTGTAAGTCCTTCAGTGCATGATGTTTCCAAAAAGCCTTCGGGAGCTTTTTGATGTTTTCAAATCCTTCGGGTCATCTGTAAGTCCTTCAGTGCATGATGTTTCCAAAAAGCCTTCGGGAGCTTTTTAATGTTTTCAAAACCTTCGGGTCATCTGTAAGTCCTTCAGTGCATGATGTTTCCAAAAAGCCTTCGGGAGCTTTTTAATGTTTTCAAAACCTTCGGGTCATCTGTAAGTCCTTCAGTGCATGATGTTTCCAAAAAGCCTTCGGGAGCTTTTTGATGTTTTCAAAGCCTTCGGGTCATCTGTAAGTCCTTCAGTGCATGATGTTTCCAAAAAGCCTTCGGGAGCTTTTTGATGTTTTCAAAGCCTTCGGGTCATCTGTAAGTCCTTCAGTGCATGATGTTTCCAAAAAGCCTTCGGGAGCTTTTTGATGTTTTCAAAGCCTTCGGGTCATCTGTAAGTCCTTCAGTGCATGATGTTTTCAAAAAGCCTTCGGGAGCTTTTTGATGTTTTCAAATCCTTCGGGTCATCTGTAAGTCCTTCAGTGCATGATGTTTCCAAAAAGCCTTCGGGAGCTTTTTGATGTTTTCAAATCCTTAGGGTCATCTGTAAGCCCTTCAGTGCATGATGTTTTCAACATTTCCATCCTGCTCGAAAGAAGCCAAATGAAAAAAAATTATTGTCTTTTTCGTCTTTGCTCTATTCTTGTTAACACAAGGATGAGCAAAGAGGGGCAGCTGTAGACATCATTTTTTTCATTTAAATTTATTATTATTGAAATTATTATTATTATTATTAGTATTATTATTATTATTATATAATTATATTATTTATTATTATTATTATTATAATATTAATATTATATTATTATATATTATTATTATTTAATAAATAATTACAACTGGACCGGCCCAGTTACAAGCCAACCAGAACCGGTCCAGCCAACCAGAAACCCTAAACAATATGTAAGATTTCAGCTAGGGTTTTCAAACCCTAGCTCCCAGCCGCCGCTTCCAGAGGGCTCAAGCTGCCTCTCCAGCTTCCAGACGCTGCTGCCGACGCCTCCACTGCCAGATGGTCCAACCAGTCGCTGCCGACGCTGCTTTTGCCACGCCACCTCGCCGCCGTAGATTCCAGAACACCAGATGGCAGCCCAAATCGAGCTCCATGGTGAGTCACCAGCATAGCTATGGTGACTCACCTAGACATCCCTCTCGGAACCGGTCCAAACAGAACCTCGTGGTGGCTATAAAGCCACCATACCTGCGAAAGAAGCAAGAGAACAGCCACAGACGGCAGAGAACGAAAAAACAGAACGAAAAAAAACAGAGGAGGAAAAGAACACAAACGAACAGCAACCAACAACCAAAAAAAAAAAAAATAGAAAACAAAGAAAGAAGAAAAGAAACTTACCCTTGGAGCCTTGACCACCGTCGGAAGCACTAAACATCGTCGGAGAACAGAAAATACCGAAGGTATTTTCGTAGATTTACTCCGATTAGGAGTCTTTTATGGAAAACAAAGACCGGAATCGGTCTTAGGGCATTTAGATCTACGTTTTGGGGGTATTTTTTGTGAATTCCGACCACCGTTACGGTGGCCGCCGGCGGTGGCCGGCGGCGGAATACGGTGGCCCATGGCCGCCGGTTTCCCTCCGGCGAGGGAAACTAGAGGGAAACCAGAGAGAACTCTGGTTCTCTCGTCTTGAGAAAGAAAGAAATGAGGCAAATGAGAAGCTTGGCCCTTCGGGCCAGGCATTCAGGGTTATAAACCCTCATCCGTGCGACGTCGTTTAAGGAGGAGGGTATCTGTGTAATTTCCATCATGGGTAAACCCTTTCCGCAGTCACTCCTAGTTTGTAACATTACAAATTAGTCATTAAAAGCAAGTTTTAATTCTTTTAATCATATCATTCAATTTTATTTTATTACATTTTAGTCATTATCAGTTTATATATATATATTTAGGGTAAATAACTGATTTAGTACCTTATAATTTTATTAACGTTTATTTTAATCCGATTAATTAAATAAGGCTAAATTACATTTTAGCACTTAAAGTTTTATTTATTCGAGATAGAGCCTTTAAACTTTGATAAATTTTATTTTAATCACTGATTAATTAATTAAGGATTAATTACATTATTAGTAATTTTATTTTATGATGATTCAGGTTATGTTCATAATTTTACATTTATTATTTTATTTATTTTTAATCATTGTTTAGTTATGTTTTAACTTAATTTTTATTATTTTAATATATTTTCAATCATTACTTTAATTATTGTTTTACTATATTATAAATATATACATTATTTATTTAACAATGTTTATTTTCCATATCGAAGAAAAGGACAGTCTTAATACAACTGGATGTTCTATTCTGATATTTTAAAATTAAAAATTAAACAATATTATTTAAATTCATACTTATCAATATCAAAGAAAAGAACTGTCTTAAGGCACCTAGAAGTTCTTTTCGGATATTTTTAAATAAATAAATATTTTTTATAATTTTGAAAGAATAGAATTATAAATTAAATATATTTTTGAATTTTTAAAATTTTAATAATAGAGACAATTGATAATTAAAAAGTACCAATTTTGGGCGTTGTAGGGGTGCTAATCCTTCCCTAAACGTAACCGACCACGAATCCCTTTTTATTATTAAAAAGAACGAATTTTTGGTTATAAACGCAGATCAGTTTATTTTTTTTAAATTGATGTTTTATTAAAACTCTTTTAAAAAAATAATTTTTAGGTATTCGACCTACCTGACCCAAAAGGCCGATGGCGACTCCCAAATTATTTTCAAAATTATTTATTAACATTAATTTCTCCGCCAAATAAATATTTCGTGCCCGGACGAAAATCGGTTACGACAATTAACATTAATTAATGATTTCAAAGATAGGTCAAACATTTTGTTTCTTTGCATAAAAAAGATACTCCTCTTCATCATTATCTCTCTATGATTAGTTTCTTTAGATAATTCCAAAAAGATATAAGTGTATTCCCATTTACTTGAAAAAAAAAATCCGGAAAAAAGTTCAACATTCTAACCCTTACCTTTCGCCTAGTCGGTCCTCCCAGTGAGTTTCTGCTCTCAGCCAAGCTGCTGTCTATCAAAAAAAAAAAAAATCCTCGGCACCGAAAGGACATTTCGATCAAATAAAAGGGAATGAAAAAAGAATTAAAGAATTAAAGATTAAGAATGGATATACCCAGAATTCTTCATCAAGAACGGCCTCCCTTGCAACGAATCTTCCGAATTCTAATATGTGGTCTTGATTAAGCTCATGATCCGACGGTTGCAGCCGGTTGAACCTGAGATTAGAGGGTCTAGGATTTTCAAGCTGGGGAACCGACGACTTTTGTAGCTGTATCGAGAGCTCTTCCTTTTTCACCTTTTCGAACGATTTAGAATCCATTTTCCTAATCAATTCCAAAAAGAAGTAATTAAATCTCTAAAAGTAAGACACGAATCCAAAAAGAAGAAGAAGAAAAAAAACTCACATGGTGGGACAAAGGGAAAGCCTTTGAAATTTGTTGAGAGGTACGGAACCATGGCTAAAAAAATTCAGGAATTCAGTTCTTTGAATCGAGAGGGTGAACATGGCAGAGCTGTATGTTCATCCGTATAAACAACTTTCCCGGAAAATATAACGGGTATTCCTGGTTTATTTTGAAAGAAGAGAAACAAGGAACCGCAACCGGAGACGCGCGTGAATAGCGGGGCCCGTTCAGAGAGTGGATAAGACGAAATTTTGAGAAACTGTGGGGATGTTGCCACGTGGATTTGATCTGATGTGGCAGTAAGCTAAAGGCTCCTATTGCTGGGCGGGTTTATTATTTATGATTCTTTTTCCTTTTACAAGTTGAGTAACTAAATGGGTAATTTAGCCCGAGGGACTGTTTCGTAGCACACCGTTTTGGTGGAAAAAGGGAGCACACCGTGTGGTTGACAGAGTAAAAAAAAAACAACACACAAAGAGGCCTCAATTCTTCTGTAATAACGAATACTTAAATAGAAGGGTAAACTACACCGTTGGCCACTAATGTTTGAGTGAATTTTCGTTTTTCTTATTAATGTTTTAAAAGTAACTGTAAACACCATTTTTATCATTATTTTATTTGTAAAAAAAACAATATTATATTGTAGTGAGGTTATTAATACCCCAAGCACCACTTGTAAAATCACTCAACCTTTGTCCCCTAAAATGTTGGAATAAAAAGAAAGTAGTTGGGACGTTTTTTTCCTCTACTTTTTGCTTTCTTTATTTTCTTTTTTCCATGGCTGTTTTGGGGGTTCACGGGTTGCATAAGGGTTGACCACCGTTGAGCGGTGGCTAGCGTACGAGAGAGTCTGGTTCATGGCCTACTAGCGCCGTCTGTGGGTGGCCGGACGTGAGCGTGGGGGTCTTTGTTAGGGCCTTGGTTGAAAGCAAAGAGAGAGGAGAAGGTCACTTTGACCTTCGTTTTAGCATCCCTCGGCGGGCTCGGTCGCCGTTCAGAGCATGGGGTGGTCACCAAGGTGTTTTGGTCGTCGTTTAGGGTCGGTTTTAAGTCTCATCGACATGGGGTGAGTGAAAGAACGAGAGAGTGCGATAGGAAGTACGGTGAGATTTTTTACCGTTCAAGGGGTCGGTCGGTCCTCCTCCGTCGTGCTTGAGGTCGAAGGTGGGTGTTGGTCGGTCCCTGTCCGGTGGACGGCGTGTGGGGCCGTGAGCGACGGCCAAATGAATCGTTTGAAGCTTTAATAAGCTTCTCTGCAGTTTACGTAAATGGAAGGGGAGAATATGGTTGTTGTATGAAAAAAGGGTAAACCACGTAGCAGGTCCATGGCTTCTAGGTACTTTTGCTTTGTTCATCTATTTTAGGGTTAAATCTCATTCCAGGACCTCCTAGTTTCAGCGTCTTGCAGTTTGGTCATTATCAGGGTAAAATCATCTTTAAGCTCCCTGTATTTTAGATTCTTTTGCATTCATGTTATGTACTTTGTTATTTATTTCGAATATGTATATTAATTTTATTAGCTTTCAAATTTAGTCACTATATTTATGTTTATTCATTTTAGTCACTATTTGATTCTTCTTCTTATTATTATGATTTGCATGTGATATTTGTAATTTATTTATTTTAGTCACTTTTTATTTATTTCTCATTTGGCATATAATTTGTAATATTCTACTTTAGTCCCGAGTTGTGGTGTAATGTATTATACATTACATTTGGCATGTAAAATTTGTAGTATGTATTTTAAGTGATGCATATGTTTTATATTTTATTATTTATAATTTAGGTGAATGTACAATTTTATGTTTTTCTAACTTAAAGTACTTTAATTTCTTTATTTACATTTGTAATGTTCATTTTTGTATTTATTATTTAATCTTTATTATTTAGAACTTTAATTTTTGTAATATTCATTTTAGTAATTATATTTTGTTTGCTTATTTAACGTAATATTTATGCTTTAAAGTATGCACTTGTTAATTTAGTCCAATTTTATTTCCATCATTGAATAGCATTTAATTTTTATTTTGCTTTAATTTTCATTTATTTGTTCCTAATTAGTATTTTTTAATTTATAACCTTTGCCATGAAATTTTGTTTTTGCATATAGATCTAGATATTTGGAATATGTATGAAAGATTCATAAGCATAACTTAATCGATTTCATAATTGGATTAAGGGTAGTATTTATTTATTTTAAAATATTAAGAAGGGACGGTCTTAAAGTAGCTAGATGTCCTATTCTGATATTTTAAAATAAATAAATACTCTATTTAGAAAAACCTAAAACTTTTGAATATGCCTATTTTAGTTTTATTCATTTTGGTTGAATCACATTATTTTAATATTGTGTTCTTGGGAGAAATTATTATATTTTTTTATTTCAGTTGGAAAGAGAAATATTCGTCCTATAGTATTTTAGGGATTATTTTCTCTTCAATTGGAAATATTAGAATATTTTCTATTTCTCCTTAGAATTTTTCATTAAAAAAATGGTATGGTTGAATATGGAATAATAGGATCATAACTTAAATTTATATTCAAATTCTTATATTTCTACTATTAGAGACAATTTATAATCGATGGGGTACCAATTATGGGCGTTGTGGGGGTGCTTATCCTTCCCCACACGTAATCGACCCCCGAACCCTTATTATTGCTTAAAAATGAATTTCTGGTTACAAGTGGATCAATGTATCTTTTAAAATGACGTTTTTCTTAAAAAAACTCTTTTAAAAGAAAATTTTTAGGTATTCGACCTACCTAACTCAAAAGGTCGATGGTGACTCCAAAACATTTCAAAATCTTTTCAAAACCTTTTCAAAAGAAATCCCCAAGTCGTAATAAGTTTTTCCCTCACCCGGGCGAAAAACAGTGTCGACAGCTTGGCGACTTCACTGGGGAACATTAGAGAGGGTCAAACCTTAAATCGATTTTATATTGTCTCTATAGTTGAAAATTAAAAATTCAATTTTATTTAATTTACGATTCTTTTGATTTCTTTCAATTCTTTTATTATTTTTTATTATTTTATTTTATTTTATATCATTGTTTATTAATGTTTGCATTTGATTAATTTTCAGATATTAAAGTTTTGGATTCGTTTTAGTTCGCTTTTTGAGTGGTTGTTTGTCCAAGGTTTGATAATTTCTCCTCACACACAACACGTGCATTGCATAACATAAGCTCTATACCCGAGTTTTCCCCTTTAAGTGGGAGTGAAAGCGACGTCTTCGTGAGAATTTATTCTCCGTGTCAGACCTAGCAAGTAACTTTCGGGGTTCATATGCCCTATGTATTCGTGATAATTTATTCTCCGTGTCAGGAATAGGGAAATGTGCCCTCTCGAATTGAACTTGATCCGCTTAAGCCTATAATGGGTGAGGATTGAGGGTTTGGCTCGCCCAAGGGGGCACCGACAAGGACAATTCGAGTACCTTTACTCCTAGAACCAAAGCTCTGCATATAGTAATCATAGAAACCCACCCGATCTAAGATCATGCCGAAAGTTTGTCCATAAGTACCCAAATAGGTGTACACAAAGGAGAAATGAACTCTAACATTTGTGTTTTAATTTTTTTCGATAGATTATTTTTGAATAAATACATGTGAACTAGAAATTATACGGTTAGGGTTTTAATTTCCTCTGTGTGTTTTATTCTCTGTATTTTATGGTTCATTTACCAGTTAAATTTAATCTTTTCATATTTCACTAACATACATTTCCTCTATTTTATTATTATTATTTTTTTGCTAACGTCTTTTCCTTGCCATGTTGCTTTATTTTGGGCATAAACATACTGTTAATTCCCGAGTTATTTATCAAAATTAGAAGGTTTTTAAAACAACAATGTCATATGAAGGGGTATATATTTTTATCTTCTTTGACATATTGGGATGTTGTGAGTTCTTTGAAAGTTGTTCTAGGATAATTACCTTGGAATTAACACATGTTCATACATGTCATGTCATATAAGGTATTGATTCCTGAGTTAATAGTCGCATTAGAAGGCTTTCAATATGACAATGTCAATTGAAGAGGTAGAATAGAAATGCAAAAACGCATCAATTGTCCAGAAGGGTGCTACACGAATCAGCTGAAGAGATACATCAAGATGGAACACATGAAGTTCAAATGATGTAGTAAAACAAGCTTTTCAAGGGTGCTACAATGATGTTGATACAACTAGCTGAAAAGAAATAATATGTTTGAAGTCATCAAGCAACAACGATAATCAACACGAGACAGTGGATGATGTCAGTCGCATATGGTCGCTCAACAAATGCATTTATGGAAAATAAGTCGAAGCGTTGGAGTTTTCCATCAAGCCAAGGATAAAAGAAGATTGTTTCATTGCATGTTCGATCAAAATTGAAGAAGTCGAGTAGTATGACGTGATTTGTAGTTTCCATCTGCCTCGGTGGATTGAGACATTGTGTGTTCTTTGGAAGTTGTTTTATGAAAATTACTTTGGGATCAATTCTTTTGTTGCATTTACATTTTGCATTTTGTATTCACATTTTGCATTTTGCATTTGCATAAGCATATTTGCATCTTTGCATTAGCATCTAAACATCGTACATTACATGATATACATTGCATCTCAACGTGCATTAATCACGGATCTTGGGAATAACCCGCGGAATCTTTTGAGGTAAATTGAAGTCACCCCTTCGTACTTAGAAAAGAATTGAGAGCTAAAGACGTGATGTTAGAGCTGTCTAAAGTTTGAGGCACATCATTGAGATTCGTGGGGCATGGAGAAGCAAGGCCCATATTTTATTTGACCCAGGGGTATTAACCTTTAACTCGTAATGAGACATTCTGGGGTCAGTTACCAGGAAATTCTTCCACCCATCATGAAACCTTGTTGCACTGGCCTTGTCCTGTTTGAACGTGTTTTTGTTCTTTCCTTAATATATATTTTTTATAATTGAACTTACGTCATTTTCTAAGGTTATGAGTAATAAATCAAGTTTTAATCTTGTAATTCTTTGAATATCGAATGGATTAAAGGTTCTTTTACTACTTCATTAATTATATGCTTTTGACAAGTGGCAAGATTAGACCTTCCATGCCCCATCCAAAGCCGAAAGAACCATTGTTGGGTTCCGTACCCGAAATAAAACACATTTACTCCCAAAAGACTGAA